CAACCAACGCCTGTCTTTTGGAGAGGCTTTAACCCCTCACGCACGGGATATTGCTTGTACGGCGCGGAACGCCTGCCTTTAATTTTGTTGAGTTTTAAGATTAAACAAGTCCAAATCACATGCTGTCACTTCCCTCCTCTCTCCCCTGCCATTCCTCACCATGTGAGAGAATTAATTGATATGAAAATAACTCTGGGGGCTGCATGGCTTTGAAAAACATATAGTATTACATTCAATACCGGCAATTACAGCTTGGGGGATTCAATCACTTGAAATCTTTGTCGTTTTGCATGTTCAAGACGTGGGGCTGCCGTGATGCACGCCCTGGACAGCTCTGGAGCAGCCAGTGGCTACAGGCGACCACAAAACAGGTCCAGGCTGGCGGAGAACGTTTGAGGCTGTGACCAGGAGCATCCCATCACGATGAGTAACCGATACGCCACCACCTCCTGACTCATCTCTACCCTCAGGCTTGAGTCGCGGAAGGACAGGGGAGTTAAATCTATCAGGAGCCCCTCCACTGCATTCCCCTTCCCACGGGACGTGCAGAGCCCGGGGAGCGCTGAGCGGCTGCCCGGCTCCGGGGATCGCCCGGCACGAGCAGAGCACAAGGACAAAGCAGCCGCCCCGTCCAGCTCCGGCTTTCGGGAGCTCCCCACCATAATGAAGTTCGAAGGACATCATCACCCCGCCAGGCTCCCTCCCACCCCAAAGATCAATAACTAATGCTGAAGGCCAGATTTTATCTGCATTTCCCAAGGATAACAAAATAACACCACCCTCTGGGGTTTTTTTGTTTGTTTTTTTTTTTTTTTTTTTTCTCTTTCCAATTACTAAATCCTTTCAAGACTGACCCAGTGATTTTCAGCTCTATGAAACTTCAGGCAGTGAAGGAAGTGATCTTCCAGATTGTTTGGAGACATCGAGTGTGGTTTTGCTCCCTATACAGAAGAGCAAAAAGTAAAGTACAGAAACAGAGGATTACCAACACTTTCTTTCCAGGAAGAAATGGCATCTGAACTAAGCTGACCCAGAGATATTTGCCTTTTAAGAGCTGATTCACCACGTGCCCACTATCACAACGAAGTGGCCAAGCCAGAAGAACCCTTGCAAGAAGACACTGCATCCCAGTGAGGATAGGGATTGTTCTACCTTTTTTGAATACTCCAGAAATTAGCCACTCCTTCAATTAAAAGGTCACAGATTTTGCAGCCTGCCTGTAGTACAGCTAGCCAGACAGGCATGAAATGCAATAGCTCTGAGTCTTATTTTCCTTAGGGAACATCCAGGGATAGCTGGACGTTAAAAAAGACACCAGCAGAGGCAACGACACGGTTAGCTTGATGACATTTTTAATGTTATAAAAGTTACGTGCTCCATTGGCAAGGCATTAGGTTTTATTTTGGGTGAGGTCTTCAAGCCTTCCCAAGGTATTAATAAAACTGTTCAAACACGAGCAGTTCTGAAAATCCCTCCTGCGATGCCCGGTTCAATCTGTGCATTTCCACTAACTAACCGGTGTTGGTCCAGTGCCGCGCGCGGGCGAGTTACACGCTACCGGAATACGCACACACGAGTAACGCACACGTGCCAGAATTATGTCAACAAATACTCTCAATTTGCTTGCAAGGAAATTTATCTCGCTTCCTAGCAGTAGGGAGTGAATTTTAATACTTTGCCTTTCCCTTGCCTACGCTGATTATTCTAGGCATAGACTAACTACAGTAAACCACAACGGATATTTTATCTGCCATTTCTCTTTCCCTTGACTAATTTGAAGATACAGATTGCAACCCGCAAGTGGTTTTAAGCATTGCCATTAACACTGTTGCTGCATGCTACTGCATTTTAAACATTTCCAACGCAATCAGAATGTCACAATTTGTAAAATCTGGGGTGATTTTCTAAACGATCGATGCAGCAGAGCTCGCTTCATCACAACAGCCCACTAGCCAGTTTATTAGCCTGATTAGTGGTAGCTACCTGTGCAGAAGGAAAAATGTCAGAAAAAAATGAATAAATTCAAGCATGAAGATGAAGATGACTCTACTCTGCCTTTTACACTTGTTTCTTCCTTCTACTTGTGCTTGGCAAAGGTAAAGACCTTAGATCTCGTCTGGGAGCTTAGACAGGGATGCTAACGCAAAGAGAAATGTTGCGTGTGGAAAAAGCAGGCCATTAAAAAAAAAACAAAACAAAAACAACAACAACAAAAAAACCCAAACCAAACAAAAAAAAAAAACTATGAAAGAAATTCACAGAATTCCTGGGGGAAAAAAAATAAAAAAGGAGGACCTGTTGCCTGTCGCCTTCAACACGTGTCGTGGGGCAAAAAGCCCTTTGTGGAAAAACCGAAAGGTTTCATGACGGCTAAGGCGCGCCCTACACCCGCAGCCCTCCACTTGAGCAGTTACGGGCCTTTTCTCCAGATAAGGCAGCGGAAAGATGCTTCTGAAAGGGGAATCCATCCTCCGGGGCTCCCCGCTCAGGTTCACGCCTGGTAGCAGGGCTCCCCAGCGCACTACTCCAGCTTCCCCTGAGAGCCCAGAAAAGCTGACCTGGAGCTGTCAGAGCAGAGCTCGGCACTGGCAGAGCACGAACACCGACATTTTCCGGTGCCCTCGGGCCTTGGGAAGCGCTGACGGCAGCACAGTGCCGCCGGCGGGGACGACGGAGGGATCACCTTGAGGCGCACGGGGAAGAGACGAGCGTCTTGCTGGCGGGAAGCAAAGGAAGGACTAACACACCGTTGCTCAATTTTCAACGTCCCCGCAGAGCCTCCTGCCCACGCTGGCAGCGGAGCCCAGGCAAGGCGGGCACAAGCTGTTGAAGAGGATCATCAGGGAGCTCGGTGGGCAGGAACAGAGCTCACCGCAGGCACAGCCAAGAGCCTCGACGGGAACAAAACTCCAGGATTTGGGATGTTTTAGCAAGTGGAGGCTTTCTCCCCGCTGTGTCTGGAGCAGAGCCCTCACCCGGGGATGAGGCAGCTGCTGGGGCCACCCAGCCCGGCTGCAGGACAGGCTGACGCCCCCCAGGATGAGATATCCACGTGCCTCCAGCCCCTCGGACAGGGATGGCAGAGACCAGCTCTGCGGGGTGAGGGAGGCCGAGACAGAAACCGCAGGTCAGGGACTGGCAAATTGGGGCTGCAAAAGCCTCAAAAGGACAGAGCACGGAGACGAGCACCTGGATGGGCTGCCAGCCTAACCGATGCACACCGCGTAAACTCGCCAGGTTAAGAAACAGGTGAAGAGAAGGAAACACGGGATACAAACGGAAGCAGGCAGAAGACTTGCTGAAATGCATTCAGGGGGGCCAAATCTGCTGAGTACGTGCCCTGCTGGGACCAGAGCCCCCCCAGCTGCCGGCAGAGCAGGGACGCGGTGCCCGTGGGCCCAGCACAAAGGCACCACATAACGCAGCTCTTTAAATGCAGCAAACAACATGCTGAGATGCTGAACGGAGAAGGGTATTTATGGCCCGTTTAAGGGTGGTTGCAAAGAAAAGGATGGAAAATTCCCTGGACATAAAAGGACGTTGTCAGGGGTTGAACTTTCCAAACTATGTAAGAGTTTTGAACACTAGGTTCCTGTTACAAAACCGACGGGCACTGGCTGTTCACATGCCTTCCCTGGCTCTGAAGAGCTTATCTTCTCAAGCAAGGCTTTTGCTCGCTGCTGCTGAATTTTCCAGGGTGTTACAATCCCTGAGTTCAGAGAGGGATTGGTGCCTGGGCGGGAGGGAATGCTATCCTGGAGGTTTGCCTGACTCACCCAGCCATCCCCACGCGCTAAGTTGCTTGTTAAGGTAAATATCAGAGCAGTGAATAATTCGGAGAGCGCTGGGAGGTCAGCTCTTCTGACCCTGCCATGGAGATGAAGACGGGGCGAAGCGGCAGCGGCCGGACACTCTGGGCTGCTCCCCTCTCCCCTGCCCAGGGCTCTCCCCGCTCCCCGGCCGGGCGCAGGCTCCTTTACACCTCCTGGCAGCCTCCCTGAACAAACCGGCTACGCACACCGCCCCGCGGGGCTGAGACAATAACCGTATCAACCATGAGAGCCCCCACAAAGAAGCTGGAGGGTGAAGGGCAAACGACAAACCACGGGGCTACACGTCCCCGCTGTCGTACGGGGGCAGAAGCCACAAACTGCGCCGGCCTCCTGCGCTGCCTCCAAACACGGGCCGTGTTAAAGCGGGGACGCTGGTGGCGTGAAATCCATCTCGTTTGGAGATGAGGAAAGAGGGTCTCAGAGCCCGTCCCCAGGGCAGTTCCTGGTGCCGCTGTGAGAGCCCAGGTATGTTTAGCTGGGCTGAAGGGAGAGGCTGCCAGGCTGCTCTCTGCCTGGAGCTCAGCGTCTCTGCTGCAGCGATAACGTGAACCACTCGCCGAGAGACAGAGGAGCATCATTTATTTCCACTGAAAGGAATGGCCATAACATTGAAAATAATCCTCAGCTCGTTCTCACCGAACTGCACAAGCAATGATGAAACCTCGTCTCTCTTGTAAAATATGTGGAGGGGAAATTCCTCTTCTGGAGATCCTGGTTATTCTGAGCTACCATCACTGGAGGACGAGCAGCCCTCGGCTTCAAAACTCCAACATGCTGGAATCCCCAGCAGAGGGATTTAGCACCTTCATTTCCCAGTGCCTCAGCTTAACCGAACACTAGCCACCTTGGTACAAACCCTCTGCTTCCCTGCAGCTTCACCACACACAGCTCCCAGAGCTTTATTATCTCCAGGGACCCCACGGAGCCTGAGAATGGTTCTCCCAAAGAGAAGTCATTAGACTGAGCAGGAAAGTCTTCTCTAATAAGAGAATCCACATGACGTGGCACTACAGGCCAAACAGCCCCTCCTCTGCAACACCTGCAGGACAGGGGGATTTCGCACCACCGGATTTGGCCACCGGGTCATCACGTTGACACTGATTTTTGGCTGTGCTCACCGTGCAGAAGCTGTCACAAAGTCATGCCTCAGCTCCCGTTCTCTCTTACCTCTATGCCTGTTGGTCGTCTTGTCAAACATAAGCATGGCGTCCTCTACCTGCAAGACACAAGAGGGGAGATTCGGGCTTTAACACAGCGGCTGCACGGGTTGCAAAGACACAACAGACAGACTGGGAAGGGGAGACAAAGGCAGGAGCAGCCTCAGCTCGGGTACAAACGCTGCATCAGATCTTGGATTTGCTCAGTCAGCTCTCCCTTTGGGAAATCTGCTGCTTTCAACCCCCATCCTAGCTCACATTTGATCCTAAAGCAGAAAAGCTAACATTAAAAGTTTTGTTGCCCTAAAAAGCCAAATATCTAAGGAGCTTTTCCACCCCTCGTCGGTCCCTGGCTGTGCCTCATCTCAGCCTCTTTTCCCTTTTGTAGGGAGATAAGGAAGGGCCAAGAGAGGAATTATGGATGCAAATCAATCCCATGACTTCTCCAAATTAGAGTCACTGTCTTGGTTTAGAATTAGGAGGTTTCAAGAAGTATGAGCAGGGTAAAATCTGGTCAGCCAAGAAAGGTATTCAGAGGCTTTCAAAAGGGCTTTTGAAAGGCTAGAGGAAAGAGGGGAAAGGGAGGGGGGAGAAAGTTTAATTCGCATCAGGCTTGGCATTTCCACTTCAGAAGAGAGATGACTGATGAAACGTATTGAAGTGCAACCAAATTGCTTTCAACTTTCATTACTATTTGCATGATTTATTCCACCTCCATTTAATCTGTGCAGCCACACCTAAAATTTTACACTTATTTTAGAAGGATGTTGTGCTGGGGTTTATTTTCCAGCATTATCACATTTTAAACTGTTGCTCAGAGGCTGCAGGAGCTGGGGCAGGTCGGTCTTGCTGCAGGAAATGTCCTGGGCAATCTTTCTGAAAAGAAATTACAGACTTGCTATTCCCTGTTGTAAATTAGGGGCTGATAAAAAAACCTGTATTACGGCTAAATTGCAGAAGACATTGCAGGAAGGGAGAGGATTTTTAAAGAAAAGGTTTTATTCTTTAAAGGACACCACTGCTTGTCTGTAGGGGTGGGTTTGGGGGTTTTTTGTTTGTTTGGTTGTTTTTTTTCCCCTGTAATTTTCATAATACGTCCAAGTTCTTCTATTCTGGCTTTCTATAAAACCTTTATTTTAGGTGACTTACAATGCAGTTACATGCTCCCTTCGCCTTACGCAGTGCCACCAAAGGCTCCACCTTCCAGCTCAACTGCCTGCGCCCGCTTCGTGCCGAGCTCTCCCTTTCTGCACAGCAGATCCGGCCACGGAACCGCTCCAGGTTCAGATGAACCACATTGGCTCTTCCAGGTTAGTTTTAAGCCAGACCAGTTTCCCAGCACGGTCAACCCAAGGCTTGTGCCAACGCAAGGGACAGGACGCTGCAGAGGGCGGAGAGGCAGCACCCCCTGGGAAGGTGGGACCACTTCTGGTAGCCCCGCCAGCTTCTGCTGCCTTGATGTGATCCTGGAATTGCGGCAGGATTTGAAAGCTCTCTCCTGGATAAAATTCACGGTTCAGGGAGTACAGTTTGACTGTAGTCCTCTTATGCAGGGGAGCACACACCAAGCTTACTTCTGTGCGGAATTACAATCTCAGTCTTGGCTTGGCGGAGACATATTTTGCGAAGTTGGTAAAAACATGGCTTGAACCTCTCTTAACCATGGGACTGAAATACGTTCCAGGATACAGTAAAAAAATACAGTGCAGTAAAACTTTACACTATGCCTAAACTCGTCTAAAAACCCGTCTCCCGTTAACCTGTTCTCAACTTTTACAAAGCGGTTTGTAAAATGAGTTAGCAATGTCTTGAGATGGAGGAGAACAGCATGCCTCCTTGATACCCATCTTGAATGAGATCTAAAGATGCTGATGCACCGAAAAATCCCAACTACATTAAGCACAGAGCCATTTGTCCTGCTGTCTTTCCTCACTCCAAGGAAGGAAATTCGCAAGTATGAGTAATATCAGAAAGCAGATAAGGACAGAGCTGCCCCTCACCCCACCGCCACCGCTTATCTCTGCTTTGGGGTTACATTTGCACAGCAATCTTTATTTTTCATTCTCACAGGTCTTGGCCTCACTGGAACCAAAAATTACATGTCGCACCTAATGCTGTTTCCTAAAGCATCGCTGCCTTCCTCCGCCTCGGCCCGCGCGAGCGTGCTGACCGCCCTTCTGTCCCCACGCCAACCGCCGCGGCAGAAGCTTTAAGGTGCAACTCTTCCAACGTAACCTCTCCGCCCCAAATCCCCCAGCAAAGCCCAGAGGGGTCCTTGGACCCCCGGCGGCCCAGACCCCAGCAGCCCAGGGAGGTCCCCCGCCCCCCGACCCCGGGGCTGCCGCTCTCCTGGCTGGATCCGCACCGCGAGGCCTGGCATTTCCAAAGGGCACCTCCTCCCGCCAGGACTTTCTGGGGACTTTAAAAAGGCCGCGTGCATGGCTCTTAGGGGGAGAAGAGAAAGCAGATGGGGCACAGGGCATCTCTGACCTCACTTTAGCATGGCCGTGCCTCGGCCCGAAGCCTCCCAGCCGGCTGAAGCCCGAGCTCCGGGGTGCAAACCCCCCGTCTTGGCCTCGGCTGCGGCCGGCAGCACCACCGCGGGCACGAAGCGCTCGTGGAGCCGCATCCTGCTCAGCCATGAGGGAGAAGGGACGGGTCCTGGCACCCGAACGGGCAACTGGCGGGGCGAGGGGCTCCGGGTACAGCTCCTGCTCGTGCTGGGGATCTGCCCTTTTGTTCCTTCTCTCCCCCCTGGCACAACGCGGCCCGTCCTCTCGCCCACCAGATACGCATCCTCTGGGCAAGCAGCGCTTTGGGCCGCGGGTACCAAGGCCCCCGCTTTGCTGCAACGATGATCTTGGCTGAGATCTTTTTTTTATGCAAATAAATCCTTATTAGCAGTAACAAACGCAGCCCGCATGGGCTAATCCAGGCGATTTCCACCGTGCTGGCTGGGACCCCAAAGAGCACAGACACCCCGGGGGTGGGTGCTCCCTCCCTCCGAGCAGTGGCAGCCACTTCTGGGATCCACACCGGGCACCCAGCTACCCAGGAGAGGGTCAGCCCCGACAGCCCAAACCTAAAAACCTGCGAAGCAGGGGGAAGCGGCTCTGCAGCTGAGTTTCAGATGTGGACCAAGCATGCCTTTAAGAAAAAATAATCAGTGGGGTGTTCTTTAAGCCAGCTGGTGCTCTTTCAACAATGTCTAATTGGTTATCTTTTCTGTTTCCTAAGGTCAGAACATTTTATCTCCGTCTCTGCCCTTTCTGAGTTTACCCCACCCTGCGTTATTTTTTAGGGCAGCCATTGTAACAGAAGAATAGCCTCTTTCCTCCATAGTCCGGTGACACAATGAGACTTCTTGAAACCTCCTGAATAGATAAAAGTGCAATGGCAAAAGGAAAATTCTATTAACGCTTTGCAAAATAAAACATCTAAGAGCTGGTTAGACAAGCAAGAGAAGAAAATCAATATGGAGAGGGCAGCGCGCTTAGAAAAACTTTTCACCAGTTGCAAAAAGGTGGCGAGGGTATGGGAGGGAGGGGGAGAAAGAAACTTATTAATTCAGAAAACCCATCAATGGTATGGAAATCTGGCAGAACAGCAAGAACTGAAACTAGAAGAATTTGAATATACAAAGGGCTGAATAGAATGAGAAAACCACACTGCCTCACACACACAGCCCGTTTCTCACGGTTCTCTGTGAATCAAACACAAGTGGCTTGTTCAAGTTTTCATCGAGGAGAAATAAGGGACACAGTCAAGGTAACCGGCAGTAAACCCTGTAGTAAGCAAATTGATCCCCATTTCAGGGGAAGAAAAAAAAAAAAAACCACAAACCAACAAAAACCCAACCCACAGACTAAACTCAAGTACATTCAGGAGCCGTGACTGTCCAAAAGTTAACCCCCTCCTCCAGGCGCAGGCTCCCTTGCTCGCCCAGTGTTTTAAAGATGCTCGAACTGCAAGTTTGCCAGGTCTCCACCCATGCAACTAGCACCTCGCTCAGGAAAGAGAAGCAAGTTTTTTTCCGGGGCTGGAAGATGCAGTTGCCACCTGCAAGGCTTGGCCGGTGACCCGGCGCCGGCTCAGCCCCGCGGGCGGCCTCCAGTAAGCGCGTGCTGGGGGCCCAGCAGCAGCCACCACACCGGTACGGAGCCGAACGTCCCCAGTTCGGGTGCGAGCTGCCCCCCGCCCCGGCAGCGCCTGGCCACCCAGCCATCCCCACCTTTTCTCAGACGTAGTATGGCTCAGTGCGGAGGCTTGAAGGAGCTGATTAATCTGAACTAATTCCGGGCAGCAGATGAAGGTGTACTACGAAACAAACAGTCTTAGCACTTAAGGTAAATAAAAAAAAGAAGAAAAGACGACTTGCCAGATAATACCAGTTACAAACCGACACTTGGGCCCAACAGACTTCTCCTCTGTCCCAGCGTACCCCATACATATATCCAATTCAGACCCGGTTTCTTACATAAAGCCTAACTAATGGGCTTTAGTTTATTTAACTTTTCTTTTTTTTTTCTCTTTTCAATCCACTTGGGGCTCTGAGAAAAGGAAGGGCTATACCACTTCATTACTCACTGCCTGGAAGGAGGAATAGGGGAGAATGGGAGGAAAGAAAAAAAACTGGAGGAGCCAAAGGCTTTAATAATCCTAACAGTTCCCAGGGTTATTTAAAATATGCCCAACCAGTTCACAAAAGGCTCCACAGAGATAAATGTATTTGATTTTCTTCCACTTTAATGGAGGCATACATTCAAAGCAACAAAACCAGGGTGACCTAAATAAAATGACTATTAATTGTACCCAGAAAGGCTCTGAATTTAATGCAACTGATCTAGCCCGGCACAAGAACACACAATATTCTCCATTCATTCCTCCCGCTTTCCTCTCCAGGATTTCCCTCTCCTCTCTTCTCCAGGAGGCAGCCCTGCGCAGCCCGGGATGCTCAAACCTGGCGCCAGCCCGAGGAAGGGGCCGAGCCCCGGGCGGAGGCCAGCCGGGGTCCAGCGAGCTCCTGGAGGGCAGAGCAGGGGGCCCGGTGCTGCTGCCA